CATTAGAATCAAATTAAAATTAACTATACCGCACAAATGCCTTGATCGCCTTTGAGAGTCGGGTGGCGCAGGGCTACCAGGCCATGATCGAAGCCGCACAGAGCGAAGGCGTGACGGTGCCTCGGTGAAATGGATGTTTGTCGAAGACCCGAAAGGTTCCTCGCTGTGTTTTACTGCGTAGTAAAATAACGGTAAGTAGATGTAAGTAGGCTTCCAGTACTGGTTCCCCATGATTACAGTAAGGAAAGGAAGCTTTCAGTATATAAGTACAGAACTGTTACTGATGAGTGGTTTGCTTACTGGCTTGGTGCTAGGGAATGAGGGAATGGGGGGCTCATGGAATTCATTCCCTTCTAAGCACCAGTCTGGCTTAGGGGGAATGTTTTTTTTCCCATGGGTGACATCCTCTTCGGTGCAAGGTGCTGTTGTGTTTGTTCCGGTTCCTGGACAGCAAAAACGAGGAAAGCTTCAATCTTTGCATGCCCCAAAAGATGGGGAAAACGACAGAAACATCACACAAGCAACATCGAAAGCTAACAAAATCAATGATGGGAGAGCTGGTACATGGTGTAGCCAAACATCACAAGTTCAGCTCAGCTAGAGCTGAGAAGGACAATTTGCTGTTGCCCTGACAGTAAGATAATGATTCCTGAGTAAATCACTCTCCCAGTTCCTTGGCAAAGCCACTTGGCCTTGACAATTCCGCCAGAGCAGGTCCAGACAATGAATGTATTTCCTAATAGCTGCGATTAGATCCCCATGACATTGCTTGTCTTGACAAAGCTCTGCCGCTCAGGTAGTCCGTGTCGGCAAGAACGGCTTGATGACCTACTACCCAGGCGCTTTGGATCTTTACAGACAGTGGATTTGCTCAAAACCATTGATTCAATCCACAAAGAAGGATGGGATGGGCAATCTATATACTGATATCCCCTGCATGGCCCTGCGGCCGCGGAACACAAAACGCTCCACTTCACACCCAAACTTCCTTCATCTGAATCTTCCACAACTGGCAGTCAGCTCTTACCTCCAGCTTTCATCCCTCTCCTTCCCAGGATCACATCCTTATACATCCTTCATCCAGCCTTCCAGGATCCATTTCAGCCGCGCGAAAACACTTCACGACCACGCTTTCTCGCACTCGACGGCAGGCGCACACGATTTCAGTGTGCCCATCTTCTGGGAGCGTTGGCGCTTCGCGCAGCGGGACCTCTTCAGCTTCGACTTGGACCCCTTTCGCCCTGAGGAGGCGGGCTCAGCCGGCTGCACGATAGTGCACGGGATTCAATGCGTTGCTTGCGTTTGTGTTCACCAGTGCTGGTCGAACACAATGACAAATTGATGACAAATGCAATTTTCATGCTAAAGTCACCAATTGCATGGAATTGCCGTGCAGAAGAGACTCTTAGCAACCATGCGATTGCAATTCTTCATGAATTCAAGTCGTGTCCTTCGTATTGGCAGCGATCAGGAGTTTTTGCCACACCACGTCGGGACAGCCCAGCAGAGGAACATGGAACATGTGGAGAGACTGAGACGACGTGCTCAAGAAGATCCCCAAAGATCCGGTGTCGATTCTCTCGCGTCGAACACTAGAACTGGATATACCAGCACCACCCCCTTTGGGTGGCGATTGGATGGAACTACATCAGGGCGGGGATATCTGACCACGGGTTGTGGCCCCTCGTGGTGCTGTTTCAGTGCATTGAATTGAATTGGACGACTCACCCACCTCCAAGCCTTACTCATCTTCCACTCGGCTGTCAGCAACTCAGGGTCCCCAGAAGTGGCACTCGGGCCCAGTGGAGCTGGAGCGCTTCAGCCCTGAAGAGGAGCGGAAATGCAAGCCGAAACGCAAGCGCTGCAAGCGCCTAATACATGAGGCCGTATTTAATGTAGACTCTTACTTTTCTTTATATTTGAACCCCCCAATGGTTTTACCTCATTCATGTTTGGGGTGGTGTTATTTCTTAAGATTCTGCATGGTTCTACATGGGGTCGATGTTCCTTGCTATGGGTGGCTAAGATGGGCCCTATTTGGCCCTGCTTGCCCTGTTTGTCGGAGTCGACGGGGGAAGATGGGGATCCGACCACGGGCATTCAAGGTGAAGCTGCGCCTGAAAACACAATGGTTTTCCTGAGTAATGTAACAACTATATAATATATATATATATGCAATATATAAATATATATATATATATATTATGGTGGTTTTGCATTGTTCAATCCTTTAAAATTCAATCATATACCACACAATATCATTCAACAATTATATGGAAGGGGTTGGATCTATTGGATCTATTGTAATGTTGCAGTATGCATACCAGTTGGAAACTCCAAAGATATCGCCATGTATTGTATTGATGTAGGAAAATAAAACTTCTGTGCCATATGCATCCACATTTGGCAAAGAAAAACATAACAAATACATCATGCTCATCTTCGCTTTCAGAGTCACAAGACCTACCCAGCAGATCACCCGGAGACGACCGGAGATCACCGACGCGCGTTTCGACCGCCACCGGGTTTCCACGCTCAGGAGTTGGACCGCCGGGTCTTTCACAGTGCGGGGCTCGATCCGGCGCAGAAGCCGGATGGGCCGGCGGTGGGAATGTGGAAGGGCCCAAAGCGGAAGAACTCAGAGCTGGAATGTTGTGTGTTGTTTGTTTGGGGGATGCTTTGAGTTGTTTACTTTGCTGACAAGAGCACATAATTATATATATATAAGTAAACCCGTGAGTTATATTTATATCCTCACGGGTTTACTTATGACTGTGACACCCTTGTGAACAATGCCACGATTGTTGAACGTTTTTACTTGTTTTAGGAAGACAAATAGCGTAGCGTAGAAGGCTTTCTTCTGTGTGTGTGTAAATTGAACACAACGTTAACGTGCCATCCGACCAAAACCCTCGGAATCGTGGAACAATTCTGAAGTCGTAATTACAGTGTGTTTTACATCGACCGACGAACACACGCGCTGAACATGCACATATTTTCCGCGACAAATTCCGAAAAGAAACTATCCCAAATACGCAAATGACTTATGAAAGTACACGTGAGGTTAAAACACTCACAGTCTTAAATAAAATCGTCTGGAATTATATATGAGCCACGGTCAAAACATGCGAAGACCACATTTAGTAAAGAGGGGTAGGTTTGTGCACAAAACCCTGCAAAACGATAAGGCCCACCTCAAAACCGAGAACCCCAGCGCTGTTATATGGTCATAAGTATGCGACGAACTCAAAACGCTGTAAAACGATAAGGTCCACCTCAAAACCGATGACGTCCATTTTTTTAGCTGAAGAAGAATAAGGAGTTTTGACCGTCCCTCATATATATAGATGTATACATGATTCCTTGAATCTGTCCAAAAGAAAGGGGTTCGGGGTTGAGTCAAAGTTTTGAACTAGTGGACTTGATGTCCATGGCACAGCTGTTTGTTGGGGCCAGCGATCGGAGATGGGCCTTTCTTGGCATCTTGGGAGGATAAAGCATGGTTCCAAGAGAACCGGTTGATGACCTCTGCAAGATTTAGCACTATAGCGCATCTTTCCACACACTCGTGGAGCCTCTGTGGAAGCCTCTCTGGAAAGTAGCCTAAAGTAGCTATACATGGTTTTCCGTACTTCTTGTCGTAGGTAGAATACGGCTTCCCAACATCTCTTGTGCCTAAGCGTATTTGATATGAAGGATGGTCGAAATATGCCGTCCAATCCCCTGATGAACTTGGGATATTGGTGGATGCCAAGCCAACGTATTCTTTGTGATGTTTTGTGTGAGTGCCCAGGTACGGGGCTCCCGACTAAGATGTGGGCCCTCCATACTGGTTAGAGTGCTTTCCTAGATCTTGATCACTTCCCAAAACAGCTACAGTTTCTATTACAGTACAACGATTTAGACACAAGTTCCTGAGAACTGGATGTGTGAATCTTTTGTCTCATTCTGCTTCAAAAACACAGAAGACAGGGGTTCACATGTAGCGACCCGATCTGGGATGAGATGGGCAACTCGCCGGCCAGTCGTCGATGCTGAAGATGACATAAACTTCTCACCTGACACTTTGCATGGTTCCACGGCAGAATGTCCAAGGCAGTCACCAGGCAGGAAACGGTCCGTAAGGGGCGTGACGGCTTTGCCTGCAAGTTCGAGACCAGGCACTCCACTTCTTTTCCTCTAGGGCCTGAAAAGATGGAGCTCGACGAAGCAAGGATTGCACCACGCGGCGGCTGATGAGTTTGCTGCCTTCCGCTGCTGGCTGAAGGAGCCCACCACCGTTCTGCTCTCTCCATATTCCCCTGTCTCCTCCTCCCTTCTCTTCTCGCAAGAGACACGGAAGACATGAGCTGCGTGAAGAATGGCAAGGACGCCCAGCCAGACGCCGACCTTCCTCACTCCTTTCCTCGAGCTGATCATGTTCCCGAAAACCAAGGATGCGCCGGCTTGTGAAAGGCTCTCCAGTTTGGAGCGTGTTTCCCGGAAAGATGGGTAGCACTCCTATGGACGAGGAAGTCCGTGTTCCGTGAAGTGGAGCCCCAGGAGGATCTCGAAGGTGTTCCATACAGCATGGCCACATTCAAAGGATCCGGCGCTGAGGTCAGAGGTTGACTTCTCCAAGACCGTGACCGTGACTACCGGCAGCGTCCTCGAAGGCACTGACCGCGTGTATGGTCAGCCCGCTTGAGCAATCTTCCCACGGCAGTGTTGGGGCACAAGGCTAGGTTCACCCCAGTTGTTGCGCTGCTGGTCCTGAAGGGGTTGAGCGTTGAGCGTGGTGAGCAGGGAATCACTTGTGTTGAAGGATGCAGGGCCGCCCCCGCTCCTTTCACCGCTGGAAAGCGATGAGGGATCGGTGGCCGCAGGCGACAACGACGTGGACTGAGAGAAACAGTTGCCAGGGGCATCCCGGGGCCGTGTGTGTGGGTGTCGGTCGGTTGCAACATGTTGCAACCCTCATCATGTATATGACTGCAAAACGACGAGGTAGTTATAAGGGTCGCCAAGAATAGAGAAAGCACTCCAGGTGCTAGGGATAGCTGCGAACCACGAGGTAGTTCTCCCCAGTTCACCCCAACATCAGGCATGAAACAATAGTTGCCAAGGTTCTATGAGAGATTATATAATAGTCGAAGCTTGCTTGATGTAAAGAAGAAGCCCATCCGGGCCCGCTGGACCGTTGCACTTAGAATGGATCAACCAGAAGGACTGGGAGGTCAATGGCACCCAGATCATCGGGCACCTTTGGCACGTGTTGGACGGTGGAGAGGAGGTATTACGCTGTACCTAAGAAGGGAGGGATACCGAACATATGGATGGTCATTTCAAAACGAAAAACAATGACATTCCTCATGAAACGTGTTCTGAAACTGACCCAAAATGCCGGATCATCAAGTCCGACACAATCGGACACAATTGATATTGCACAGGACCCTGCAAGCTTGTATATTGTTTGAAGTGCCTTTGAAACTTGCGACGATTACACTTGCAGAACATTTCATCATTTGGATGGGGGACAAAAACCAGATATCCTGTAACAATGTTCCAAAACATTGCGAAATGATGGGGCTCACAATGCATTGGCCCCAGACCTCATAAAATCATAGGTTGTCAGATTTAGACCTCAACCGCAAAAGTGTTGCACAGCCCTAGAACACAAATCCCGAAACAAAACAAAACTGTTTTTTTGGTGTTTCTAGGCTTATATAATAATGCAAAATGAATGTAAATTGGCGGCTTAGCCAGCTGCCCGGCCCCAAAACACTGGTGAAGATGGACCAAAATACATCCACCATGAATAAATATCTTCACAATCTCAAAACCACATTACAGCCCAAACCTTTGTTTCAAAATCTGTCGGATCCTCCATTTTCATTTGTTTGGCACGCGGTTTCCGGTGCCAGGACCTACAAGCGCCCGGGTTTCCGTTTGAACGACACCTTGCGCATGGCCTTGGGCCGCTCCACCTCCATGGCCTTGAGCCAGGCGACGTCCCGTCGGATCATGGTCAACCAGGTTCGAACAAGAACATGTTCCTTAGGGTTCAAAAGCCTTAAGCGGTCAGGGTGAGAACGTAGATGAATGTAAATTGGTAGATTGTGATTGGTAGATAGGGTGCACCTTGGACGACCTGAATTTGTAGAGGAAGATGTTCATCCAAGGCTCCAAGGGGCCATTCCAATTCCATGATCATTGATAATTTTGGAAAGTGATAGAAAGTGTACCTCCAAATCCAGGCGCCTTCAGTTCCCATGCTGATCGGCTCAGGGTCTTAGAAGGCGCGCGGTGTTTTTGGAGCCAGGTGAGACAACAACCGAAGCTCATGTCTGCACGGGCCTCAGCTGGTGCACATCCACGTGAGGCCCCATGTGTTTTGTAGCAGAGCAGCCCCGAAGAGTCCCCCCCCCCGCTGGAGTTCAGGGTACTGGCATGGGAAACAGATTGTGTTTTGCAGTTCCCTTCTTGAACTACTGTTTCATTGAGTAGAGTTGGAACCTGTCCAGATCGAACTGGCTGACTTCCCTCCAGGTTCTGCTGTTTGAGAAATCCTGCCACCCAGCAGTACCAAAAGCTTCCGGATGATCACGTCGGCGCCCACCAGATTTCCAAATCGGCGTTTCTAACATCGAGTTACTCCACCTGGGTCCTCACTGTGGAAGGTTCCTGATCCTCTGAAGGTTACAACATGTCAGGGGCCTTGGAATTTGATGATTCACTCACTCATCACTCGCTCTCCCGTTCCTTCGTATGAGCTTTGTTTTCCTTTCCATTCAAATTTTGCAAATCGAGCGCCAGAGTTGCTCTTCTCAGCTGAGGGTGCCAAGTACTTCAACGAAGATTTGGACTCCTTGATGCAAAAAGGCCCTGAGGCCAGGAGGGCAGTTTTGGCCACAGTTTGGGATGGATTGGTGGAATGGGATGGGATAGCAGGAACTGATGTTGTCATTGAATCGCAAAAGTGCATGCACATCATATAGATTCATACCCTTCAAAATGGTTCATGACTCTAGCCACCAAAAGGGTGCCTGGACTCACATGACAGCTTAAAAGCAATCCCGCAAATAAGCCATCCACTTTCTGCTCTCTTGGTCGCTTCTCGTTTTCCCCCAATCGAGACACCGCGCCGATCGCCGATCGCCGGATGCCGCTGATCGCCGATCAGCTTCTATGCCTTCTCCAGTGGATCACGCCGGAGCCATGTACTTGGTAAAGGGACCAAGGGAAGCACATTTGCCCTTGCCCCTGTCCATATCCAATCCAAGTCGTGCTGCTCAGCATGAAGTAGTGCTGTAGAGTTACTGCTGTATGGTGATCGATGTCCTCCCAACTGCAGGCGGCTGAAAGCGTCCAAATGGATCTGGCGGCCTTGAAGGAGGAAGAAGAGGCTGATGGTGAAGATGATGGTGTTCCAATGTGGTATTGCTTTGAAGTGAGTCCAAGTGAAGGGCAGTTGAGGGAGAAGACAAGCAGACATGATCAATCATGAATTGTCCACTCCTGTTGCTTTCGTAAGGAAATGAAGAGTCCATCCATATCCATCCGACCCATCTTCCTCACGTCCCGACAGCTTGGTCGGTCCATTGTCATGCGTGTCATGGCGCGAGGCCGCCGTCAACCAGCACCGTGTCAGGCCTATGCGGTACTGCTGTGGAACCACGACAGCCATAAGTTGCTCCCCTTCGGAGCCACGCAGCGTGAGGCGGAGAACACCTCTTTCGCATGTTCGGCCGGAGTGAGATGAATTTGGCAGGGTTAGGCAGGGAGTCCAGTTTTCATAGAGTCATTCGCAAGTCGTCCTTGTCCATTCGCAAGATGGAGGATTCCAATGGGTGTCATGCAGCGGTACAAGGATGTGGTTCAACGGCAAAGACAGGCAGACCTTTTGCTACTGGAAAGGCAGAACTTTTCTGGGAAACTGACTGTTTGAATAGACTCATTCACCAGTAAGAAGATTCTTCACATGAATTGAGAGCTGATTCGGTCCCGGTGACGATCAACGAATCGCCGAGACCGAGGTTGCCAGACCCACCACCCGGCAGCCAAACGCACGCCGCAAGCGAAAGCTTTGGCTCCAGGTGCTGGCTCGAGTGGTTCGCTGGTGGGAAGGCTTTCTGGAGATGCCAGTGAGGCGTGTGGAGGCGCTGAACATAACGACGGACGGGTCTCGAACAACGCGTGGAAACCACGAGCCGTGGCGCCTTTGAGCCTTCCTGTTGAAAAACCTGGCGATGTGGAGGATCCCATGACCTTGATATCTCACATGTCGAAACGACCAACCAGGGTCAGGGTAGTTATAGTTAATATAATGTTATTTACACATTAAAAATCAGATTGATTCAACTGATTATGGGTGATGGTACTCAGTCAGGGGGTCACTTCGCTCAGAATGCACCCAGTCAGGACCAGGGATGTCAACTGGCGATGTGCTTTTGGGGTGTTTGATGACTTTTTGTTTACAAGCCTTCCTCATTTTGAGATAAAGGGCGACGAGATAGTTTCAGGAACTTCTGAGACTTGCTTCAAAAAGGGAGTTCAATCCACTTATATATTTGTTTGGAGACCGCTGTATACTTGTTGGCCTTGCCAAGGTTACAGTATGTTACAGTAAATTAAAGCTGTTCTCAGATGGTGATGAACAAATCAGAGGGAATCTCAGGGAAATGTTTTTTGAGGGCTGAGCCTGTTTTCAGAGTTCATTGAATTTCAATGTTTGTTTCACAACTTCACGCTTCCTCAGGTCATTTTTTCATCTTGATGGGGTTTGTGGAGCAGATTTGATGTAGGGAGGCCGCGGGGTGTCCTGCTCAAGACGAAAGAAAGGAATGCTTAGGGCCATTGGTCTGATTGGGGCATGGTTGGCGGCATTTGTTAGAGAAGATCCTAGTCCCAGGGAGTGTTTTTGCAACTGCACTTGTAGCATTGAGCATCGTTTGAGCAGTGCAGCCACCAGTTGGCAGTGGGAACTGACTAAAGGACTGATATTTGGTTTCATTGGTGCGTTGATCACGGTTGGCTGGAAAGTGGTTGTCCTGTTGATTCAAAAGCTGATCACGTGGGTGGGTTGCAGTGTGCAAGTCTGGGCAATTAGACAACAAGACAAAATACCGTCAACGGAGCCTGAATTGGACAGTGGGTTGACTGCAGAAGGGCAAGTGGCAGTAGAGGCGCGTGCTCGCGAGCAACTCGCGACTCTGAGGCATAGGCAGGCCCTGAGACAGAACCATGGCCCTCGCTGAGGGAACTAGGGTGTTTCTGCTGTACGACGTTGGTGGACCTGATCTTTTCCATGAAAGATATGTGTTAGCAAGCTGTCAGTGTGGCCGGGGTTGGCACATCGTTTTGACTCCGGATGATGATGTCTACCCTGAGCAGATTAGTCTAGAGAATGATGATTTGTCTTCATACAGGTTGGGCATAGGACCAAATCTTCCTCACGGCTTGACGGTAGCAAACACCTATCGGATCAGGAATCTCCCAGATCCCCAGAGGCTACAGCAGATGTTGGTGGATGCACGGCATGCTGCATCTGCCTTAGCATTCCCCCCAGGAGCCGGTCCTGGCTTGGCCGCCCCGCCAGTTGCAGCACCGGCGGTCGGGGCGATCCAAGCTGAGGCTGGCGATCAGGTGTGGGTGCGCATTGAGACAGATGGAGAAAAACACCGAGGCGAAGTAGTCACCCTGACTGGAGGTGAAATCATCCACGGAAATGTTGGTTTGAAGATGGAAGGAACCACACATTTTGCAATTCGCCGAATGTTGCGGGCTGACGTTGAGGCATTCAAAGGAAAGGAAGCTTCTGCCGATGCAAGACTCCTTGGAATCAGCTTTCAAGGCATTGTGAGAGACGAGCGAACTTGGAGGGATGTCTCAAAGGAACTTTCAGAGGAGGAGTTCAAAGATTGGGGCGTTCCTGGTCCGAGAACATCTGCTTGGTGCACCAGGTTTTTGAATCGTCGCAATGGTGGCCCCAATGACCATCACAGGTGGTGGGTGAACAACCACAATTTGAAGCATGATTCCTGGGGAGTGAGCGAGCATGAACATCTCATGAAAGTGCTGGACAAACTTGGCCGTTTTGATGGGCTGGACCTCTCGAACCTTGCTGGCGCTGAACTTGCTTTCCGAAGGCTTCAGTTGATCGAGTACTATTACAGCGATCGTGGGCCAGGAAGTGGAAACAAGGGTGCTGGGAAAGGGGACAAGAAAAAGGAAGATGACCCTGTTTACAAAATGGAGTCTGCAATTTTTTCGGGTTCCCACAAGGAGTTTGGAGATGTTATGGTTTGTCCAACACTGATGGACTATGTATCCGAGGAAATTGAAACAGAGGCATCCATTATGAAGCAGGTGAGGAAGGCG